GACTTACGAATTGTGGGTCAGTCAGTGGGTTTGCGTGTTGAGTTGTTTAAGTGGCCGGCCGGTGACTAATCATGCGTCCTTCTAACCTTCTTATCTATGTAACCACATGCAAATGTACCGATTATTATATCTGTGATGTGATGTCTAGCTAGCTACTGGACAAGCCAGTTAGTAAATGAATTGGCACCTGTTAGGCTGCTAACAAAAAGGATTTAACAATTCTAGTTTGCACATCAGGCTTTTCTAAAATCAATCAATTATTGGTGGCTGACAACTGAGTTAGTAAATTCCAAGTAAACAGATGCATGAGTTGTGGGTACAGCTATGCCTAGGCCTGATCCTGGGGAGAAATATATAAACGAATTTGAACTTAATTGTGTGATGGCGTAAAACTTGCTGCTAGCATATTAACTCAAAGTAGAGTGTACTGAACTAATAGATTTTCAGTAGGTTGCTTTGTTGAGTTTCAGATGTAAAGCCATGGGAGAGTCTTATCTGTGGTCTTTTGTGGTGAAGTTGGACTAGCTTGCTCGGAGAGAGGTGCCCCTCGTGCCGCCCCCGTGGGCGACCCAGGGGGAAACCCTAGCCGCCTCCCCCTCGAGCCGTCCCGCATCCCACCCTCCTCGCAGCCGTCCGCAGCGCCACCAGGCAAAGCCTGGCCGGCAGGGCGGCTGCGGGACTTCTTCCCCTTCGAGCATCTTCACCGGCGCGGGATGGTTGGACTGCGAGGAAGCACTGGGTTTACGTGGGGTCCGGTGGCGCGGCGGGCGGGCTACCCTTGCCGACGTTGTGCGTGGCGTGGCGGCGGTGGAGGGATCCCTTCTCGCCGCATGGTGATGGCTATGTGGTGGGCTCAGCCAGGTGGTTGCGGGTGTTGTCGGATTCAGATTAGATCTTGATATGATGCTAGACCCAGTCAGCCAGCGCAGGGTGGTGGTCTTCGCTGTTGGCCACGTCGGATCAGCTGATTCAGCACGTGGACATCTACTACGGATGTTCTTCTCGACTCCTGTTGGGTTGAGCTCCGTGGCAATCTCATCTATGTAGGTTTCGGTTCTTGGCTCGCTGCCGGATCCGGAGCAGACAAAGATTTGGTGGTATAGGATGGGGACTCGAGGAATCTATGGTCGGCTGGTCCGGCCCAGCATTGGCGGCGTCCCTCAATCCCCTTTACCCTTCCTGGAGGCTAAGCCGAGGTCCCTCCTATCCACTTCCGAACACCTCCCGGACGAAAGTCCAAACTTCAGACTGGATTGGGCAGCGGCAGTGTCCTGCGCGTCATAACCTCCATGGAGGCGCCGTCTTGGGAGGCTCAGATGTTCGGGGAGAGGTGCTATGGGTGGTGGGCTCTGCGTAGCTCCAGCAGTGGCGACGCTGTGCAGGTTAGCAGGAGGAGCAGCGTTGTATCTACCGCGTCGATGACGATGAGTATTGGTAGCATGGTGCAGTTGGATCTCGGCAATTGATGTGGCAGGGTAGACGAGCGCAGGGCGGTGAGGTTGTCTGGGGCCGTGTTGATGCGTCAGTATAGCTCTGAAAATGGAATGGTGGCAGTTGGCAGCGGCGGCCTCTGAGAGTGCGCTACCTGACAAGTGGCTTGGTTGGGGTCTCAGGTCTTAGATATTAGGCTTGGTTGCGAGGTCTGTTTAGTATTAGGCCCTGACTATCAGCATTCTTTCATCAACTGGATAGGAGTAGCGACAGATATTGCCTAGTCGGTGGCTTTAGACTTGCTGCTATATTTCTTTGTAAGGTCTATTATGAATAACTAGCAAAAATGGCCGTGCGTTGCAACGGAAGAAAATAAATCACACACTCTAGCCATAATAAGCATTCAAGGACCCTTCCTCCTCGGTCCAGGTCATCTATTTCAACACGACAACCCACAAGTGATAACACTTATCCTCCGTCCCACCCTCGCCGATGATGGTCGCAGTGTCCAGCTAAGCACAACATGTATAGATATGGTTAATCCCGAGGCGATAAAGTCAATCACCTCTTGGCACACCTGTTCTTGAACTACACCCGCGAAAGAAAATATTTGAATTAAACTCTCGGGCTGGACATGAGGGCTACTCTTCCTGAGTCCCTCTCCACACACAATACATGTCCCCTGCATATGGTCCGTACGCCATCCCTCATATTGCCCCTTGCTTTTGAATATGGACTTATTTCATGGAGAGAGGGAAGGTCCTACACATGTCGCGGCATGCCTCCTCCACACCACACTATGGTGTAAAAATGTATGCATAATAATTAGTTATTTTGTCTCTGCAAATGCACACTACATGGTCTAGCTTGTAGAAGGTAAATTACAACAGTGGTAAAATTTAGAGACAACTATTTACAACCCATCTCACATCAAAGTGATATAATCAGATGTAAGGAAACCTCCTTTTGGTAAACATTGTATAGAGTATGTTACTTATAAATATAATAGAGTGTAAAAATATGTAAATTGGAATTAGTATATTGAAAGGAAATTATGCACTATAATTTCACGTCTAAATTAGACGGCTCCATCAAATATATAAAAATATAGTGCCCAAATAAACTATACATTTTACCTGTAGCTGTGAGGAACCTATGTACCTCTCTGTAGCGCACTATTGCATCACATAAAGCCCACCCAGCAGCCAATGAACTAACTTTTACTTGTCAAAATTTTATCACATATGGATCCCCAGCATCACCTATAAATCAAAACAGGAGCTTTTTCTATCAAGCGTATATGCCACAATACCACAGCAGCCGACGTTCCGTGGCGGTTAGTAACAGGAGCCCATTCATCCACACAGTATGTGGCAGCGGCGAGGCTCTCGTCCAAGGCTAGCCATCAACGGCACCACATCCATGGAAAGACGGCCCGACGAACACAGCAGCAACGTCCTTTTCTCCTTCCCTGGCTTGGCCTGGGCGTCATCATCAGCGAACGGCGAACACGACTGGCACGTTCACGGCCTAGCTACAGAATTCAAGGTCATGGCCGTAAGTGGTTTCAGGGAACGCAGAGGGCGGGCAAAACTGATTGTTGGTTTTTAGTCTGCAAGTGTACTAACATATGCTCCATATAGTTCTGAAAAATGTGTGCTGCAAATTATCTCCAGTTCTCTTTTCTGAAACTTTGTAATTTAAATAACTTCTGTGCAACTATATTTGAATCTTGTCATATGGATATAGGATCTAATCCTACGTGTGTGTGTGTGTATGAGCACATCATAAATGTTTTGAGTTAAGTACTGTACTAATTAAGTCGATCACACTAACCTCTTGGTCCCAGTTGACTCTTCCGGCAGTTCCCTAAGCAGGGCGAATGAAGCTATCGATGTATTCGTCGCGAGTAGGGGCGGAGCCAGGAAATTAAGATTAGGGGGGCCAAATGACAGAAAAAATGATGTAGCAGCCCCAGCAATCACCCCAGTCCCCACACTCGCCACTATAGCCGCTAGCACTCTCCGATGTTGCCTCGGCTGCACTCTCCATCTCCGATTCGCAGGGTGACTATGGGACGGCCCCGTCTGCTACTGCCCCATTGATTTCGAATTTGACATGCAAAGCATTAACAACCCCATGCAAACATTGCATGGACTCGGTGGACCTGTCACGTGCGTTTGCGTCCTCTGTGTCGTCCGTGTCGTGTCTGCGTCGTCCACGTCGCTGTGGTGCCCGTGCTAGCTAGGGATGCCCTCTGCGTCGTCTTTGTCGCATATGTGTCGTCCGCGTCGTTGTGGTGCGCGTGCTAGCTAAGGCTGAGTCCTCCACGCCGTCCGTGTCGCGCCGTCCTTCTTGCGTCGTCCCGGTCGTACCAGTGCTAGATAGGGCTGTGTCCTCCACGTCGTCCGTGTCGCCGCGGTGCCCGTGCTAGCTAGGGCTGCGTCCTCCGCGTCATCCGTGTCGCGTCGTCCTTCTTGCATCGTCCTCGTGGTGATCGTGCTAGCTAGGAATGCGTCCTACATGCGCATCGTCCTTCTTGCATACTCTGGATCTGAAGATGTCAGGAGGTTGAAGAAAAAGAGCCATCGGATCAAAGCATCTAGGGCTCGATCGGAGGAAAAGGAGAGGCCACATTAGCTTTCTTGCTTTGCAGACATGCGTAAGTGGGTTTGAGTCATTGGGAGAGGAGAGATGATCCTGGGAAGGATAGAGCTCGCTGGGCTTGGGTTGATCGACTTGGGCCCAGTCAAATGAGATCGCTCTATCGCGAGAGAGGATGGATCGATCATCATAGGAGCTTGACGAAAAGAGGTGGAACAGGAAACCTTACCCTGAGAAAAGAAAAGAGAAACCTTCCTCCTTTTAAATCTCAACCGTCGATCTTTCAAGTTAACATAAAATTAACGAAGATAAAGGGGCGACGTATGGAGAACTATGAAAGTTTCCATCCTTTATTATTAGGGGTAAAGATTACTAAAGTGGATTCTTGCATCGCTCAGATGCAGAGGCCGGGGGTCTTCCTCCTTTTCAAAAAAAAAATTGTAAAGCCATGATTTAGCTAACACAATGTTGGTTATTGCGAACAAAGGCTTCAGCAATTCGCTACCTAAATGAATGAGTTCTTAATTAGGACCTCGACCAATGCCAAAGTATTCTCTTAGCAAATGTAGCCAAGTCTCGTCTAACTGTGCATGTCAGCCCTGGCTACCTACTGGACAGTCACACGCATGTACCAATTAATGAATCCACTGCCGGCATGATTGATTAAGAAAAAAAATTGGAACTTGTTGATTAAGATATTGGTCTTGCGTGGTCCAACAATTGGCAAGGGTTAAGTACATTGATCGGGGTACCTAATGTGTCCGTTGTGCTGTTAACAAAAGGGGTTTAACTCCTCTAGCCTGCAAGTCTTTTGAATATAGACAATAATAATAAAAAATCAAGCTCTCCACTTTATATTTACTCCAGGACTTCAGACCAAACATTTGCTAGCTAGCCCGATCAATCCTACCACAGCACACCACAAAATTGGTTATAACACAGAAGCAACTGAGAATCAAGAGAGCATGGCGGAGTTTGCGCTTGGGTTGACCAAGACGGCGGTGGAGGGCACGGTGAGCAGGGTGAAGTCAGCCATCGACGAGGAGGTGAAGCTAAAGGTTCAGGTGCAGAATGATCTGGTGTTCATCACAGGCGAGTTTGAGATGATGCAATCATTCCTCAACGTCGCCAATAAAGAGCGTGCCAAGAATGAAGTGGTGAGGACGTGGGTCAGGCAGATCCGCGACCTCGCCTTCGACGTGGAGGACTGCGTCGAGCTCGTTGTCAGCCTTGACAGCAAGTCAGGCAGCTGGTCCTGGATGTGGCGTGTGCTGCCGGATTGCATGGCACCTCCGCGATCTCTCGACCAGGCAGTCACCGAGATACAACAACTCAAGGCAAGGGTGGAGGATGTCAGCCACAGGAACACCCGCTACAACCTCATTGGCGACTCCAGCAGCAACTCCAAGACTTCTGCACCAGCACCAGATCTTACGCGCAACGCCGGCCCATCATCGTCAAGATTCCACATCTTACGCGAGGTGTGGGAGGCTGCCGGGAAGATGCGGCACGACATGGGTGACCTAAGAAAGTTGATCAACAGCCAAGAGAATGTCCTTGAGGTGATATCACTATGGGGAGGTCCTGGAACAGCTGCTGATCTTGGGGCCACACATGTCATCCAGGAGGCATACAATGACCCAAAAATCTGCCAAGAATTCAAAAGCCGAGCATGGGTAAAGCTGGCGCATCCTTTTAACCCCGACGATTTCCTCAGTAACTTGCTAACTCAGTTCTATGCAAGCTCGCACCGAGCAAAGCTACTAGGTGCAGAGTTCCAGAGAAAGATGAGAGCGGTACTGGGTACGAAAGATGATCTTAGGAAAGCCCAGCTCATGAAGCAAGTGATCTATGAGCAGAGGTATCTCGTCGTTGTGGAGCACCTATCCACTGTGGGACAGTGGGACACCATCAGAATGTACCTGCCAGACAGTGGAAACGGTAGCCGCATTGTGGTGACGACACATCAACTGGGGCTTGCAATCGCCTGCATGGGGAATCCCTACCAAGTATCTGAGCTCAGGCAACTCTCTTATGGCCAATCTCTTTGTGCCTTCTTCAGCAAGGTAAGTACGCTGAAAGAAATCAACTACTTCATTATATTATTTAATTCTTACTAAAAATTGCTAGCAGTTCTACCCTCTTAATTCGGGAATATATATCCAACGTGCTGGAAAGTTTACAGTAAAAAAATTCTAACTTTGAATATTAACATGCAATAAGTTACTTAGAATTTGTTGCATTAATGTCAGATAAAACAAAGTTGTCGAGGATAGCACTGATTTATATGTCTCATAGACTTCATTCTACTTTGACGAATGATTTTTGTAGGCATGTGTGCTGTTTGGTCTACTAAATTTTGCATGTATTTTAGTACGCTTATAATCTAAATTGCTAGTTCTATTTGGCCTATTGTGTTCTACATGTATTTTAGTAGGATTAGTTCACTATATTGTATATTACCACGAAATTCTTCATTGACTTCCTTGAGTGCATGTAAATCTAAATATCTGTTCATTGACTTCCTTGAGTACAAATGTCAGTCCTCTATTTCTTTTAGAATAATTTTGATCGGTTGGCCAAATATACAAACGTGTGTGAGCTTACTATAAACTGGTGGAGCACACTTACTTGGCAGCGGAAACATCTACATCGCGTATTTTGATAGGTTGGTGCAATTCCACGTTAATATCATATTATTATATCAAGAAACTCTTTTTTGTTGACCCATATTATAAGACCTAGAATTTATAAAATCCATGGTAGAGTCCATGTCGAACACAATTTAGACATCTTGGTGTTAGAGTTGTCCAAATAATTTATTATATGTTTCTTTAAAAATTAACTATGGAAAAAAACACAAAAGTTTGAGATCACAATATTAAACGTTGGCAAGCTTGCATAAATGTATTATTGCCACTCATGTTTGTTAACGCCTGCCTCATGTAGCATTGCATGGTTGAAGGAACTTTTTCCACAGTCATAGACATTATTTTAAATATACATCTCAAGTCATTACTCTCACAATTGATATTTGTATAAAGTATTATTCATGTAGGAAGATGAATGCATTTCGATGATACATCTAGTATGACAACCTTTGCAAACATGGATAATCTCAACCTATTGTGCATATTAGATTTCAAAGTCTGAACATGCTGACCTCATATGCAATAATTAATTAGTTAATGTATCAGTATCAGGTAAGGATTGAGTTTGGAGTAGATTAGAATTGAGCTAGTAGTCAAAAGTTGTTGTCGTGAATATTATAAGCATACTACATTATCCCAGTAAATTACCTTCCTACCTAATAACTACTTCCACATATCCCAGTATCAGGCAAGGATTCGGGATTAAGACATGAAAGTTTCAACAATTATTTAATGACAACATCTTAAAATAATAGAATTGCTATCGGCTAAGGTTAAAGGTCTCGTCTAGGTGAGAATCAGATGGATACTAAATATTTGTTCACGGTGGACACTAGAAGACATGAATATACCTGAGGATTATTCAGGAATTGCCGTGTCTGGTACAGTGCTGACAATGATGCTAAAACGTTTTGAGTTTGATGAAGCCAGAAAAGAGTGACAGAGCATTGTTGGGCACCCAAGGGTAGGAGTTTGCAGTACGTGGTAAGCTTACCTCAGATTACTTATAGTTTTCCCTCTGATCCATTTCCAAGGATCAGTTCTGCACACAATTAAAAAAACCACTTCTGTCCTCAACAAGTCTAGTGAGGTTGTTAATCTCACTAACTTTGCTAGTTGCAGCAAGTTGTCAACGTGTCTAGTGATTGGAAGTGTTTTCATATTTTTGAATTTATTAATTTATTAGTTGCAGCAAGTTCACTCGTAGCATCTTCCAAAGTGTCTGCGGTGCATAAATTACAAATGTAGGAAATTGAATAAAGAATTGCAATGTTGATGGAAAATTATAAATGCCATGATAACATACAAGCAGTACATCCAAATATCCGTAGAACGCTATCCAGCATACAGCTATAGCTAATACTCCACCCAAAGGTCACCATCTTTCATGCATCCTAGGTATTAATTAAAAAGAGAGCAGAGCATTAAGTGAAGTGGCATGCAGTTGATAACCACTTCTACCTACACCTACATCCATTTATGAGGGCAAATTTTGATTATCTTGTTATCCTTAGTGCCGAGTATACAACAAAGAGATTTCTATTCTTACTGTCACCAAAAATAGTAGCTTAAAGAGATCAACCCCACTAGTGCACACTACTCTCCCTTGCAGATAGTTCATCTAGACTGGCCAAAAGTAAACTACAAGATTGGAGAGCAATATACAGCTATATATCATGCAAATAGATCAAGGGGAAAACTATAAGTAATCTGATCATAAATTATAATTTAACACACCACAATAAGAATACAGCATATTGCCTCATATTGATAGTAATCATGTTAGGCAATTCATGTGACTTTTTTATTAAAGAAGGGATAGATGACGTAGGTACTGTTATGAACTCATAGTCAAATCATGGACTACTGACACATCATTTCGATAGCAGTAATGGTGATGCAGAGGACGATGGTGATGATTTCCCCCGCCGATAGAGTACCAAAGAAAGATTCTATATAAGATCATACCGCAACAGTGTCAAGGGGCCAGGAAATAATAGGGATATCATTTGGCGTATGGCTTTACGATATTTAAGAGCCGACGGGATAAAGTGGCGGTGGAGGGGTCGCCTATGGACTCCACACCTCCTTCCCACGCGCCTAGGCCACCACACGCATGAGCCCCACAGGATCCTCTTTGTCCTTGTTCTGGTGTAGCACTTCTTCTCCAATAAAAAGAACTTGCAGAATTTTCACGGGTTTTGTAGACGCCGGGGTAATACGAGAATTGTATAACAAAAAAAAACACTGCAAGATAGCAACTGACTCTCTGTGCTTTATTAATATGACAGTCCAATAAATCATTAAAACAATACATAATTTGTATCTTATTGGCGTGTAAGCATCATGAATACAACAAAAATTTATAGATATGTTTGAAATGTATCAGGAATGGATCTGGGCCTTGCATTATGTTTAACGATTATATTTGTTATTTGCAGGTTTCTGGACGTCGGAGTGATATGGGTGAACTTATTTGGCAATTAAAATGTGGTGGTGTAATCTCTGTGTGGGGGTGTACGCGAGATGAAACAACTCTTGTTTATAAAGTGTACACGGCCATAGCACATAAGTCAAAAGAATTCGAAGGAGTTGAATTCAAACGACATATCTGGGTTGACGTACCAAATCCGTTCAATTTGGGGATTTTCTCCCAACGCTTATTTTTTAATTTTCATTCAGATGATCTTCGATCAAAAGAAATTAAATCAGCTGGTACAACTGGAGGCACAAGTTTAATTGAAAGGTGCCGGAATTTTCTGTGTGAAGATGACTGCCTTGTTGTTATTAATGGTTTGAGCTCTACGGATGATTGGGGCCTCATAAAAGCTGCCTTTTTTCCCGAGCCTGCTAGTGGTTGTATCATTGCCATTACAGAGGAAGAAAGTGTGGCCACACATTGTGCAGTCAAGGCAGATCGAGTGCTGAACATCAAAGACTTGGATGACGACCTGCTACTTCGCAAATCGATCAAGGTATGCACTTGCGTGTTTAATTTATAATAATAGCAGTACTCTCACCGTCTGGTGCACACGGCACATGCGTGTTCAGGTTATTAACTTCACTAACCATATGCAAACTTCTGTCCCAAATTATTTGTCTTAGATTTGTTAAGATATGGATGCATCTAGAGTCTAGACACATTTTATTTGTGTTAGATTTGTTAGATACAGATATAAAACGTGTCTAGATATTTTCGCATCTAAACAAATCTAAGACAAGTAAAACGTATTTGATACATCCATCACTGGATTCATCTATGGATGAAGGTATTAAAGATATATTTTTCGTTGCACATAATACATGTATGTGGTTAGTCAACTTACCGACCTAGAATAACGCGCCTGGAGGGGGTAGCAATAGTACTAAATAAACTACTCGTTCCCTTTCTGTTCAAACCCATCGGGGGCACAACGCACATACACTTCCTTAGTCCTACTCGTCAAGCCTAGTTCAAACCCAATTACCTCCATTCGGGTTTATAAGTCGGGCATGGATCTTAATTAGGTCTTTATTTTGGCTAACGAAACATGTGTTATATACTACGAAAAATATATCTTCAGATTCGTTGTCGAATGAAGTTTCTAAACATTCTTTTTGTATATTATGCAAAATTTGTTAGATAAATTGAGAACCTAAAACCTGTGCCCATCCTACATTCCCCATCCGGACGGAGTAGTAGATTAATTCTCTATGTCTTCTCCGTCTATCTCAATCATGGCTCACAGGCATATGTAGTTTAATAGGTCACCATAAAAAAAAGGTTCAATATGGCGAACTAGCTAGCTAGCTATTGTGCTGATTATTGTACTTACTTTACGATATATATGAATATATGTGTGTGTGCATGCGTATCTTACTCTTGTGTGTGCAGGGCTGTGACTATCATGGAATCGGAGCCAAGGAGGCTTCCAAACGGGGTCACTTTTTCTCCAACAGAAGGGAAGAAGCACGTGACTGGATGGATAAATTTGGTTCTGTTGTCGATCGGACAGGATTTTACTGTGCCGAACATCGTTTTAATGTGAGCTCCTTGCGCGGGATCCATGATACTGAGAAATTGGCTATTGCCAAGAAACTTTACTACGACCAAATGCCTGATGTAGGTGAAGGCGATGTACGTCCCCGTCATACACGCTTTCCATTTACAAAGTTCAGCTGGGTCAATGTACCGGATCCGTTTGATTTGACGTATTTCTGTTGGCGCTTACTTTTGGATTTTCATTCGGATAATCTTGAAGCCAAGCAAACCGTAGCTGTTGATATGATGGAAGGGCTCAAAGATCCATTTCAAGGGTGCCTTGATCTCCTGCGCGAGCAAGAGTGCTTCGTTGTTATTGAAGGTGTACGATCCAGGGATGATTGGAACCAAATAAAAAGTGCCTTATTTTCTTATCGTCGTCAAGGGCATATTAAGCCCAGCGCCCTAAGACGTATCTTGGTCATTACAAAAGATAAAAGTGTGGATCTAGGAGATGGAGTGTCCTATATTGATGGTCCAAATTATGACCTGCCCGCTGATCCACCGTTGACAAAGGTGTGTTTACTCTTATAACTTTTCCCTACGATGTGCTGGTTACGAGTACTAATTAAAATTTCCACCTCCGTAGAGTACTCTAATCAGCAATTATTCTTTTTTTCTTCGTGAAGTTATAGGTTGCGGGTGTCTCTCGACTTAAGGTCCAATTTTACATGAATCAAATAGTATCAATATTCTTGCATAGAATTCATTGTCCTTGCCATTAACATAGTACTTACTATGAA